TTGGCTGGCCCCGGGCAGGGGCGTGCTTGTGGTGCCCGGGCTCCTGTTCCCGGTGCTGTCCCGGCGCGGCCTGTACCGGTGGCGGCATTGCCTCCAGGCGAGGAGGGAGGCCGCAGGCCTCGGCCGTGCCGGCTGGATGCGGCCCTGCAGGAAACGCTTGTAGTAGGCTGCCTTGTTGGGGGGTTAGGGCGGCAGTCTAGCTTGTCCGGTTCCGCATAGCATGTGATCTGCTTCTTCCCCACAGAAAGGGCTTGTCCCAGTCAGCCTTGCCCTACAGACGCAGCGTGCCTACGGTAAGTAACTCCCCCGCCCCATGCGCATTTCGGCGGGCCCGGGCGGCTGCCTGGTGGCGTTCAGCGCGGGGTCCGGTTCCCGTAGTGCAGCTTAGCAGTGCCCAGGGAAAGAAACAAAACGAAGAGACTTGTAATATTTTGTATCGTCGTTTTTAAATTACGGCCTGATAAAATGCTACCTTAGCCGATGGTCTTCAGGATACTGAGAAAAAGCAAGCATCGTTTCCTGGCCAGATGATTTGTTGGGCAAAAAAAGTCTCTCTTCCTCTTTGTACCTTCCTTTATTTAAGTGCTACTTAAATTATTTTTAGTCTGTATGCTGATAATTCCTAGAGATTAAATTACTCTCTTCATGCTCGAGTTTGGTCTTTGCCATTGTGGAATAAACCGACTGTTTTCTAAACTATTTACAACAGTAATTTGCTGGTCAGAGCACTAATTTAAGTAATGTCAGTGTGCCCTTAGTTCATTCAGGGTACTTCCACTTAAAAGGCTTACCTGTCAGCTAAACAAGCAGCAGCTTAATCTGTCTTGCTTTGCAAGACTATCTCTTGTGGTATCTGTTTGTTGGCAGAAAGATCAATTTGTGGTGCATGTGGAAAAGCATGTACTGAAAAACAGTTAAACGGAAACGTGAAAGCACAAAGCATGAAAATAGATACAATTTAAAGTAAGATAACGCGAAGCTGCTTGAAGTACTGCTGATGGTTAAACAGTTTAATAATGATTAGGATGCTCAAATGCTATACTTGTTTTAAAAAAACTTGTGGGTTTTTTGCTTAGTTTTAGTTGTATTCTGTTTTGAATTGTCATCTATAGAGCAATTCCAAATACATTTTTCTCTGTGCTGTTCTATTTCATAATGTTACAGTATTAAAAAGGGAAAAAAAATTAGGAGCTTTTGTAGCTTGTTGAAAGAGCGAGGACTACCTAGCTTGTTGGTGTTGTCTTCCCCCTAATAATCACCGAAGTAACGGCTCTGTCAGCACAGATTAACATAGAAGTAATAGAAGAGGCACAGTCCTATCTGAGTAGATCCATTTGTTTCATTTTTTGATTAATTTGTGTACTTAAAGTCCAATTTTCACTAATCTCTGTAGGTGCTTTACTAAGAGATGGCTAAATGATTCTCAATTTTGCATTTCTGTCAAAGGCCCTATCAAAGAGTTCCTTCCCAATGGCAGTGATGTTTTTCCTCTGTAAATTTGTATTCGTGCTTCCAGTGTGGCAGTTAAAGTAAACTGATGATAAAGCAGCTGGTTGGAGGCTATATGGGGTGTTTTAAACAGAGACTTTCTTACTTCGCCTCTGTCTTCCCCCACCATATATCACTAACACGATAGGTTCATAATATGTAAAAAAGTGTCTATATCATTAGAAGTATAATTTCAATTCTTGATTGTTTTTTCAAGCATTACAAAGCATCTATTTCTACCATTTATAAAAAGCTTTCATATAGCTAGCCTATGCCTCTGTATTAAGCAGTGCTCATGGGTGTTGGGGGTTTTTTTTGTTTTTTTTTTCTAATTTTCTTTAGTGGCTGAAACTTACTTCTGATGATGTAAAGGAACAGATCTACAAGCTGGCTAAAAAAGGCCTGACTCCATCACAAATTGGTAAGGTTTATTAATAACTCCTAAATGGAGACAAAACACTTTTTTCTGACTGTAATAATGTAATTATTCCTTCAACTGATGTTAAATAACATACTGAGAAAATACAGGTTTTCTGATGTACCTATGTAGTCACGGTGTTGGTATCATTAAAAATGTAATGCATCTCATTCTTGCAAGAAGCATATTTGGTGAAATAGTTGAGTATTTTTTTTCAAGGAGAAAACGTGAAGCATCTGTTTCATCTTATAACCTGTCCTTAGGAACGGCCAGTAGCAGATGTTACAGGGAAGTTTAGACTGCCCAGTTTCCTGGAGAAAAACTTGACATCTCATCTCAAATATCGGCAGCCCTGTGTTTAGGAGCTTACTGAGCCAGGCACTGTAGCTACATGATAGACCAGTTCTCAGTAGTCTGGACCCCTCTCGAGCTCTGCTTAAGTGTGTGCATGCTACAACTTTATACGGTCACGAGCTATGCAGTGCAATTATGTGCTATGCAAATGATTTTTTTGTTATTGTAATCCTGAGAGTATTAATGATCCCTGTGGTACAGTACATTTTTTTAGAGTAAAGATGTCTATGACATCTTTGTTAACCATAGAGAAAAGGGTGATTGAATACCTAGCTTTAATGAGTCCTGTTGAAAATTTCCCAATAATATTGTAGCACTTAATGTGTTACCTGCCTAAATGTGATGGGCGGGTTAGTTGTCTGTTAAGTGTTACCTGGTAAAATGTTTCAGCTTCTGTAAGTTGAATTTTGCTCACTCGTTGTCTACTATTTGTTCACAGTTTCCATCAGAAAGTTTTTTAATTTAGAGAAGACCTTTTTTTGGGTAGCTTGTAACTGTAAGGTTGGTTTCGCAAGATTTGTTTGTGTAAGGTTTTTCTTTTCAGGGTGAGATGTAAATGTTTGTTTCAGGTGTGATCCTGAGGGATTCCCATGGTGTTGCCCAGGTTCGCTTTGTTACTGGCAACAAAATTTTGAGAATCCTTAAATCGAAGGGACTGGCCCCAGACCTTCCAGAGGATCTTTATCACTTGATTAAGAAAGCTGTTGCTGTTCGGAAACATCTTGAGAGAAACAGAAAGGTGAGTGCTAATTTAAGTAGATAACTCTCTGTGTTTGTTTTTTCAAATAATACAGCAGTTTATTTGCAACTTGACAAAGCAAAGACTCTTAGTGTACTTCCTGTTAGCCGCCCACTTTGAGGAAACTTAGGGGTTTGGGGAGGCGTTTTGATAAAGGAGAATGGTCTTTGCCTGTAAAAAGGATCTTAAAACCATTGCTTAAACCACATATTTCTGGCCCTGTTCTGATTTTACCGGATTCATCAGACTTTGGTAATGGGAACGTGGAGCTTGTAGCAGTAGCTGTGGATTTTTTACTTTATTAAAGCTCATCTGCATTGTACATCGTTGAGAAGTGAAAGTAGTGCTTGCTTGTGATGTAGCTTTCTTTTCAAGGATAAAGATGCCAAGTTCCGCCTGATTCTGATTGAAAGCAGAATCCATAGGTTGGCTCGCTACTACAAAACTAAGAGAGTACTGCCGCCCAATTGGAAGTAGTAAGTCTTCTCTTATGTTACTATTTTCACCGAGGTCTTGTAGGTTTTGTAAACAACATGCTGGGGCTGTTATTCGAAGGGTGAAGAGTGCATTATGATCAGGTGTATAGGTAAACTAGGCAGCAAAGAATAGGTGTTTTCATAAATATTAACTGAAATTAATGGAACTTAGTGCTGGGTAAATGCCTGTCACAACACTTGGAAAAAAATAATTGTCTCAACAAGTGAAGTCACTACTAGATAATTTTTATAATACTTTATACAAACTGCAGTCTCTGTTCTCACTCGGATACTTTTATAGTTCATGTTACTTTAAAAATTTATTGAGAAATGGCTTAGCTGTGGCAAAAATGAAAGTAATTTGTAGTTTTTCTGTAGGAAAATTTAGCCAGCGTAGGAGGATTCCCATAGACATCAGGGTGAGCTCTTTTTCTGAAAAGACTCAAGTGCAACTAGCCAGGTTTTTGAATACATGGTCTTGTGCTGTTATCCTAGTATTTGTATTTTAAAAGGAAGGGTGAAATCTTTCTTTATGCCATAAAAAATTTTAAACGGGTGGTGATTAAGCTCACAACTGGTAGTTAAAGCTTTGAACTGAAGCAGTATTTTTGGCAACTAGTTTGAAAAACTGCCTTTGCAATTAATATTTCGCTCTCTTCTCTCTTTTTAGTGAATCATCGACAGCTTCTGCCCTGGTCGCATAAGAGCTGGCTATGACACTGAAAGAATAAATTTTCATGAACTAAGTTTTTGTTGTCTCTAAATGGTTGGTGTCTTATAAACTTCTGCCCCTTTCAGGAAGTTGCATGTAAATGGGCAGTTTTCAAGGTGAAGCAGACGTGTGGCCATGGTTTCTATATTGCTATCCTACCGTGTCAAAGCTGGGTAGCGGTCGTTGCTGTTCTAGACCAGCTGTATGGTTTGTGTCTGTGCTTAAACTGGATTTTTGATCTGATAGCCTCAAGTTAGTAAAGTGACCTAGTCATTCACAGCAAATGTGTTTTATTCATGTGGGGCCGTGCCTCTGTGTGTCCTGCAGGAAGAACTGGGGAAGAAAACAATGATGGAAGAATTGGAAATTTAGAAAATGCGGAAAGGATTAGGCAGAGGGGGAGGGCGGAACTGGAGAGGTTGGTGGAATCCTTGCAGCTAATCCTTTAGGGCAGGGGGGGAGGGCAGAACTGGAGAGGTTGGTGGAATCCTTGCAGGTAATGTGGATCTGCTCCTTGTGCAGAAAACTTCAGCAGACCTTGACCAGTTCCTGACAGTAACTGTTGCTGTCACTTGAAAGTAATTTTAAGAATGATCTTCGAGATTTGGGTAAATACAGACAACAGTTTAGCTCTCCTCAGATGTTAGGTCTTTACTGAGGTAGTTTTCCCTAAACCCAAAGGGCAGTGGCTGTTGCATAGTCACTTGCTGAGGTTGTGCCTCCAGGTTCTAAATAGCTTTGATCTTAAGAGTCATCTTTCTGCTGGAGAAATGTGGGGGGCAGACTGAGCTTTTTCCTTTTTTAGGAGAAAATTACAAATGGAGTTATTCTGAGCTGTTGTGACTGTTGGTTCTAAGTCTTGGTGCATTACTTAACTTTTGCCATATTAAAAAGTTAAGTAAATTTAAACAAGCCCTAACATTTTTGTGAAGTGTAGTAGCTACTTTCTAGATCATAACCAGTGGAACCTGGTAACTTCTGGATTTAATTTTGCAGAAAGACAGGAGTCCTCTGCCCTGACTATGCAGCTAAATACAGACTTGTGAAGCTGAATATAAGACAATTTTAAAAGAAAAGCACTGCGTTCCAGTGGAACTCTAAAGTGCTACCTGTCTGGTCCATCTTAAAAGTTAAAATTACCAGCCTCCATATGCTGTCAGAATACTTGCTTTCGTTTTTGAAAGCTTCTGGTGATTACTTGCCAGGCTCTCACAATGATAATTAAGTGTTCTGGGCTGTAGATGCAATAAACCACTTTCATGATACAAAAAAAAAGTTGCTGTGCGTTTTTGGGGCTGGAGGTATTGCCAACTGAAAAGCACAAGGACACTTTTAAATACTCATTGTTCTGAAATAGCTAGGTGTAAATAATGAAAGTACCAGCAGATGGCACTTGGGAACATTAATGTTTTTAAAAAGTTCTATATTGCAAATAGTGCCACCTAGAGATCAAGTGTCAAGGCTGGTGGTCCAAGCCAGTGAACAGATGGTGTATTTAGAATTTTTTGTAATGGTACTATAGACGTGGTGCCAACTGATACAGTGGTTTTGAGCACAGTCACGTGCTCTTGTATTTCACGCTACTGGCATGTTTCGATCTGAACGCAATCTGTACTGTGTCTTTTCCAGCACTAGTTTGCTAGGGGAGCTGAAAGCCGGCTGTGCTGTACTCGCGTGGCGTTTCACCCATCCAGTGGTGCTGAAAGCAGCTGACCTTGCCAGAAGAGGGAAGGGCAGGGGTTGTTGCAGCAACGGGGTCTGTCTCTCAGGAATGGAGGAGAGGGGAAGTACCATGTAAATGATTGACCTTGTGGTGTACTGTCAGGAATGAGATTAGCTGGGGAGAGATCCTGGGCTTGCAGTAAGGTCAGATCCAGGTGTTGAAGGTGCTCCTGAGGATAGAGCGAGCGAGCGGTACACCATACTTGCTGCCTGTAGAACTTGGCAATCTCATCGAAAAACAGTAATGGTATTGTGATTGTACTATTATGCCTGTATATTTCTACTACTTACATTGCTAAAGATTCTGTATTTCCTGTAAATCGTATAGGCTAGCTTAAGTAAGCTGTCCGTTCTCATTAAGATTGTCAGTCCCTTACCCCTTTGATTACCAGAGGTACACCGTCAGTCAAACTCATTTGCCCCAGGGCACGCAGGTTGTCTGCTCGGCAGCTGGTATGCCACAGGGCAGTGGGTGCCTGGCCAGGTGTGGGAACAGCGGAGCCAAGGCGCTGGCAGGGGTAAATCCTCCCGGGGGAGCAGACCCCTACCAAGCATGATACCGACCAACCCATTTGGAGGACGCGGTCCTACAGTGTGTGTCTGAAGAGATGAGTGTGGGACCAGGAGGAACGTGGTCCTGTGGAAGCATCAGGTGAGTTTACCGTTTGGGGCTGTGGTACAGGACGCTTCCTGGGTGAGAGTGAAACTCGGGGAGTCTCCTCCCACATAGCTGAGCACCAGGACTGCTCCAGGCAGCTCAGGACCTGTGATCCAGCTGCCAGGTACAACACAGGTTGTGGCCGCCCAGGAGAGTTAGTGGAGGCTTTCCTGCTGCTCTGGGTAAAGCTACTATAACTTCCCTTAGCTGGAGAGATGCGATAATGGGAATAAATCCAGATCTGCAAATAGTTGCCCAAAATTAATTCTTTATATGAACCAGCACAAACCGTCTGTCCCATGGTTATCTCCAGCCACCACCCTGGCTTCCCTCTCCCCAGCAGCCTGGGGTGTTCTGCGGGCTTTGGGCCCCGCTGCCTTCTTGCTTTCTCCGGTCACAATGTCTCGTCTCTTTATAGTTTCTTTTGCCTTGGCTTAACCTTCAGAAGCTATGTTCCTGTTTCTGCCTCGTTCCCAGCAGCTGTTTCTGAATTTTCAGTGTTGCTCTTTTCCTCTTGCAGTACTTTTTGTTCTCCCAGCAGGTACAAATCTGAGCGATGGTTATTTTTTTTTCCCTATCCCAATGTGAGCTTTTTCCTGTGCTGTGCTAGGGCACGCATCAGAAAGGAGCTTACAGCTTCCCCCACTTCCAGCTCTCTTGGCCCTGCTGGCGCAGCAAAGCCTGCCCTTCCCTCTTCAGAGGGGAGCAGCCACAGGGCCTCTGCCTCCACAGCCAGCCATGGAACATGGGGGCCCCCTCGGCAGCCATGCTGTGCTTTGCTTCTCCATACCAGGCTCGTTCACATGGCGAGTTTGGTTCACAAAAGCCTCCTACTAGACTTCAGCCCTTGCCAGCTTTACAGCTCTTCCAGGGCTGTGGGATGTGTGGCGGAGGCTGCTTCCCTTTGGCTGATAAACAACCAGTTTTGAAGTCTGGCTGCTGAGGCAGCCTTTCCTCTTGCAGAGCCCCTGGTGGCCGGGGTTGCCTGCCATTTTCTGGGAAGCTTTGTCGTAGGGTTGTTTTAGGAAGAACGATGATTCTTGCGGTCACTGCTGGGTTGCTGAGGGTGGTGAGGAGGGAACTGGTTTCCTTCAGGTCTGAAGCATCGGGTTCTCCATTGCACGTGGCACAGGGAGATGGCACAAGGGCATTCTCTGGGTTATAGGTTTTCTTTCTAATCCACCTGTTTTCTTAGGAGCATGAAGCTCTTCCTTCTCTCGCCTCCCTTTTGCCTTGGCCTGCACCTTTCTTGTTCTTTACACACACATGCACCCCGCCCTCCCGGCCCAAGTTTCTGTGCTTTAAGTGTTTGCCCTGAAACTTCTGGCTGTGTGTCTGAGTTCCTGTTAAGGAAATTTCCCCTTTTTTTTGTGAATCAGTCAAGCCAATTTTCTTCCATTCCTTTAGGTGATGCGAGTTTATCTTACCCTGATTTGAGTCAGCTAGGGCAACGTTCGAATGTATGAACACGACTTCATGTTTTTCTTCACTTCTGGAGTTCATCCTGGAATGGTAAGTCCAAGAAGGTGAGTCTTTATTCCTATGGTTAAATCAATAGGTGATTGATGCCATGTGCAGTTTCTACCTTCACTTTTAGGAGAGTTTGAGAGGTGACTGTTAAGTATGGGAAAGATTGAAGGGAGAGCTTTGATTCAGTTGTGTCCGGAGGACACTTTGAGTGCTAGGTATCTGTTCATTCTGAAGCATTTTGTGGTGTGTGACTGGTTCCCTCGTGGAGGCAAATAAACCATCTTTTACCTCTATGAATTTTTCTAATCGACAATTTCTGTTTACAAGTACTTCTGTGAAAAATAAGAAACTTCTAGTAATTTATTTCAAGTAAGGAAACTTAAACACCAGTTACTCTGCTGATAAGTCATTACCACTGCTGGAAACCATGAACTTCTCTAGCTGAAAAGGGCGAAAAAATTCAACCGAGCTATAGTAATAATGATCAGAAAAGGCAAGAAATTGTTTGGGTTTATAAATGTACAGCTGCAAGTATATGCTCTTCTGCTTTTTCTGGAAAACAGCTTCTGAAGTGTGTTTTCAGTTGCATTTTCTGCCAGTAAGCTTTTTACAGTTTTCAACTCAAAATCATTGCATGCAAGTTAATCCCAAATAGCAAAATGTGAATGAGGCATGTATTCTGCTTTTTCTGAGCCAAGGTTTGTGTGTCACTTTCTTCCACTGTTTTCAGTGTCACTTACAGATCATGAAAAACAATGTAGTTAAAAAGCACTGCACATGTTTCTCAGGACTCAAGGGCCGGTTTCTTTCCCCGTTCCCATTTAAATAAAGAGCAGTGGGGCCTACTGAATCCGCCAAAGACAGGTTTGGTACTCCCGCAGCTCCGGGATAGCTGGTGTTTCTGGCTTAGGCCAATGCTGCTTCACGTTCACGCAGTCGTTTTGTTTCCTTTTCAATGCCGGGATCAAACTCGTGAAAAAATGTGCGCTGTTGCTGGGAAGTCCCTTCAATAACTCTGCATCATTTGCATGACAATATGTCGCCGTGCCCTGGTAACCTCCCTCTGCCAGCACATACCTTGGCAACAGGAAGCGGTTCAGCAATGTTCGCTGCACGAATGGGATGTCTGTGAATGTCCTGTTCTTGCCTCCCAAGGATTTCTGGAGATACTTGCAGCTGGATAAA